GGAGGTTTTTTTTCTTTCTTCATAGGACAGTGCCATTTATAGATCCAGATTTCATTGGTTATTATCCAATGGTCCCTTCCATGCATAGTTTTTCGCATGCATCACCCCCAATCCGGATTACGTGAGTAATCCTGAAGATTTAGGGGTCTGAAGGGTCTAATCCTTTCCTCGAGCCTTGTCCCATGTTGCCATGTCACTTCTCCCCTAATCAGGGGCATTAAATGTTGCTTGGCCGTCGGTTGGTCAAGCCTGACATAGCATTAATTGTGATTTTAAGGTTTGCTGTCACGACGTGTATAATCCCATCATCTTGTTAATTGGGCCTTGCCGAGAGCGAAGGCACCTCTTGACTTCTCATCCACCAATCCAAGATCCTCCTAAATTTCCCAAACATGGATTCCTATAACACAAAGATATTACCTTCATCTCGTGCTAAGGAGCTCCGATCTTTCAAAACAGCATCGTCTGGCGTAACACCAGGATTCGGGATATTCGAGAGTCAGTCTCTCGAGACTTGATGGGCCTGGTGTGGCGCCAGGACTTGGAATGCTCGAAGATCAGCTTCTCGAGGCTTATTGGGCCTGGAGCGATACCAGGGCTTAGAGTGCTCGAGATTTGATCTTTAGAGGCTTGATGGGCCTGAAGCAATGCCAGGGCTTAAAGTGCTCGAGATTTGATCTTTCGAGGCTTGAGGGCCTGGAGCGATGCCACGGCTTAGAGTGCTCGAGATTTGATCTTTCGAGGCTTGAGGGCCTGGGGCGATGCCAGGGCGTAGAGTGCTCGAGATTTGATCTTTCGAGGCTTGGGGGCCTGGGGCGATGCCAGGGCTTAAAGTGCTCGAGGTTTGATATTTCGAGGCTTGAGGGCCTGGGGCGATGCTAGGGCTTAAAGTGCTCAAGATTTAATCTTTCAAGGCTTGAGGGCCTAGATTGATGCCAGGGCTTAGAGTGCTCGAGATTTGATCTTTCGAGACTTTTGACTTTTCAACTTGCCACGGAGGATTTAACTAGGGTTGTATTGACTTGTCAACGTGCCACATCAGCCTCTGATAAGTGACGCCCACAGGTATCCTTATATGACCTCCAAGACCGAGTCTTTGATGAATATATATCGATACGGTAACGATATGAAGAAGTAGTACGAACGCAAATAACCTTATAATGAACAGATTTGAATGGAGCCAAACTAATACAGAAAACAACCGAATATGAAGTTCCAGTGAGAGGTGGAAGTGTTGAGTATTGCTTGGTGGTGGGATTGTATATATAATAATTAGGAGTTGTGTTTCTGCCAAATTTTGGAAAACCAGAACAGAGCAACAAGCCATTGCAAGACTCTAACATTTTGATACCTGAAGCGAAATTGAGAGATCTGAAGGGGGCTTTTGAAGGATTGTTGTTGCTAAACGAAACGAACTCGAATTTGGACTCGAAGGTGTTTTCCCGGAGAAAGAGGCCTGAGGGTCTGACGTATGGGTATCGCAGAGTGTGGAGGAGAGAGAAACGGGAGATGGAGATGAGAGAGAACCAGTGTCAGGACACGGACTTGAACCGGATCAGAGACCTAAGGGGCGTGCGGACAAGGATCTCCGTCAAGAGGTCATCGTTGCTGGCGATTGTGGCGGCGGCTGACCACTGCGTTTGGTGGCAGTCCTCCTCCGGTGAGGAGATTTTGTTGTCGCTGCTTCTGATCGGTGACACTTTTTTTTGGGACATTGGATAAACAAGGGAGAAAAGAAAAGAAATGATAGTATTAGCTAGGAGAGAAGATAAAAGAAAAGAAAAAAAAAAAAGGATAGTAATAATTTTTATTCGTGTTTGGATAAATAGGAGAGAGAAGAAAAATAATAATAATAATAATAATTATTCTTGTTTAGATAAAATAGTAGAGAGAAAAGAAAAGAAAGGATAGTGACCAACATGGACTTAGATGGATGTTTTGTTCAAACTCCATTATTGCAAAATTGTTACTGGATTTGTCAGATGTCTTTACAATCAGTCAACATGAACACCAAATTTTATCAATATCACCATACTTATACTGTGATATAGACCAATACTTGAAACCATATAGAAAACATTCTTAACCAACCACCATATATAAATCTGGGTTTTATGACTTTAACACTGTTTTTAACACATTTCAATGGTTTCAACTTTGGCCCTTGTGCTACCATTTTTTATATATCCTATGATCATTTTTCTCTAAGATATTAACAGTAGGAAACACATTCAACTGACATGAATATATCAATACAACAATGAGAAGACTCCAGTATTATCAAACCAAGTTGGTACACTTGAACTTGACCACAGAGAAGCACCCTACATGTCAAAATGTCATTTAACACACTTACATTTCCAGTTTAAGTATTCAAAATAGGAGGAAAGAAAGACGATATGAACCCAAAATATAAATTTGTCAAAAAAGAGAGGCTATGACGGCATCAGCAAAATAATATATAATTGGGACACAAATGAAATTACATTTCAGTATGTTAATTTTTAAAGGGTATTTTTAGTATTAGCAATTTACAACTTATTTCACTATCCTTTCTCTCCCTATCTTCTCAAATTGGGAGAGAAAGCCAACACGTTCCCTCCCTATCTCTCCCTATCCCTCCCTATCTCTCCACTTAATCTACCCAAACACACCATCACACTATCCTCTCTTTTCTTTTCTCTCCCTATCCCTCCAAATCAACCCTACCAAACACACCCTACAATACTAGTAGTAGTAGTAATAGTTGCCAATATAATTGCACCTTGGAACCCCTCTCGCTTGAAATATAGTAATTACATTCTTTTAAATGGTTACGATATTAAAATTGTGCTTTAAAATAATAATATTTTTTAATGTGTTTTAAAAAGGGATAAAATTTTATGTCAGGTTCAAAATTTTCAAAAATATTTAAAAATATATATATTTTTCAATTACCACATAAAAACTTTAATTTTCAGTTGTGTCAAACAGTACCTAAAGCACCACCACTTGCTTAAATAATTAATAATTTTTTTATGGACTTAAATCATAAAACCTACAGTACTATTATATTTTTTTTGAACTGTTAAGGGATTTTTAAAGGACTAAATTACTGATATACCACTTTATTTTAAAAAACAAAAATTCAAATTTTACAAATTACGACATTATTGTCTTGCATAAAACCAATAAAAATAAAAATTTATAGCATATGGTTGGTACATGGGTAATTTTGTTACTAAAATTATATGGTTGGAACATGTTCTTGCAGGGGTAATTTTGCCACTAAAATTTGATTGCCAATGCATGTGAAGACCACGTGCTAGGTTAACGTCCCAAACTTAACAGAATTGGGACAAAGTGATAACTTTGTAATACTGTTAAAAATTTTAACAATAAATTAGGATTTTATGATTAAAAAAAATTTGTTAGCATTGAAGGTTTTATGATTTAAGCTCTTTTTTTTTATATTAATTATATCTTTTATGTATTGTGTGATGCAATTCAAGCTCAAGGAATGATGCCTAGAGGACCAAACCATTAAACTTTGTTTTGCTCCTATAAACCTATTCCACAAGGGCTAAGACATTACCCTTTGAATCATTGGACATACACCAAAAGAATCAAACACAACCAAAGCCACTTTTCGAGTACACTGTCCACAATTCAAACCCCATAAATTTCAATGTCTCCACTAAATTTTAGCAGCAAAACCCTACAATAATCAGCCTTGAAATACAACACTGCTATGTTAGGGCTTCAAAATAGAAAATTGAAGAAAAAACACATGGTTTTGGCCCTGCTGAAGTAAACTTGAAAGGTTAAAAAATACTGTAATAATTTAAACTTGAAAATATGAAACTATGATTTATCTGTTCGCCTAAAATGCAATCACACAAATGATATGGTTGTGTTAACCAGAACAACTTGATTCTCGGCATAATCAAGCATTCAAGCCGAAAAGAATTTCATTGTTGATGCAAGCCAATTCTAAAGAGGTGGGAGAAGGAAGATAAAGCATTGGAGCTCACATATATAACAGCATTTCCCCGTGCCCTCTGAGAAATCTGGAAAACATACCCTCAAAGTTGCAAACAATTTGATGCAGAGGGAAAACTACAAAAACAGAGGGCATGCATGCAAGAACTGATATATAAGCAAGCATCCACAAACGATTTAAAGCCTAATTTACAACTTCACTCTAGTAAGAAAACACAGACTTCGTCCAAGTGTGGCAGAAGTACCTCAAGGCATCAAAAGTTGTCCCACCCTAAAGCTAGCAAGAATGGTTCAACGCAATAGATACACCAACACTACCAAAATCGAGCCAAGGCATATTTCATCGAGTATCATTGAAGACTCAAATTACTTTCTTTTCAAGTGTTTAACAAAATCCATATACTTTCCAGCACCAACAATGAATAATACATCCACTGATATAGCACTAATTCAAGATCTCAACATACCAGTTGGCATTATATCTAATACCATTGGTAAAGCTACCATAATGGGCATGAAATGATGACCGATGGTGCAATAAATCTCTCTTGAGGGACTTATTCCTCTATCTTACCAGAATCATCCCATCAAAGAAACCATCAAACAATACTATCTCTTAGCTTTATAAACTTATGTTACAAGTCTGTAAGTATTCTATTGCAACACTGCATAACTATCCATAGCTACAAAAATTGCTTTCAACCGTGAGAAATCATGACTCGCGGTCTATTTTGCCAGAGTTCCAACATTGAGTTGAATTTTTTTAGTAAATATTAGAGTGAAACTAAAAAGTATTGGTTGAATTATTAATCTTGCAGGGTCAATGGAAGGACTGGTAAGTATTTGACAATCCAATCAACATTGAGATCTCTCTCATAAATAAACTATAGTTCACCAATGGTCATATGTTTTTTTTTTTCCTAAATGAAAGAAATTTTTTGAAATTGCACCAGGCCAATGGTCATATGTTAAGAGAAGTTATAGACCAGAATTAGTTAAATGCACTTACTATACTGAAATTTGACCTTGCAAGCTTTTAGCAATCATAGTAGAATATATAAAAAGTTTAAACAACCAATCCATCCAAACTACCATGGACAATATCCAGCAATGGTAGGGGAAAAAATTAAGAAACTGTGCATAACAGATTCAATAAGAAAGAAAAATTAATAATGTACATCACCAAAGTAACCTTGACAAAAACATCATAAAACAAAAGCGTGAGTCTCTATGTAGACGTGAGCATCAAAATGTCCATATTGCAAAGTATACATTTTGTGAATTTTTTCAGGTGGCAAATTAAGAAGCTCCTTGAACGTATTATCCTTAAATTTATAAGATAAGACCTTACCGGGCAAGTGCAACAGCAGCAATGACTCATCTTCATCATCGTCGCGAACAAGACCAAGTACCGAATAATAAACCCTACCCCTCCGAACCATCTCTGGAAACTCATTTACAATTCCAACAAGATCAACATGATACTTCACAAACCATTTAGAGTAGTCCCTCTCCATCTCGAAAACATCAAATTGCATTTGGGGAGCGGTGAGACATTCCTTTATAAGATGCAAATGGCCTTTAGACTCCAATAAGTGCCCACTGTATATGTTATACCCAGGAAATAAAATCTCAGGCATTTCTACGAGACTCTCATGATCAACATCAAAGCGAAAGTAAGACCCAGTGCGACTAATCCAATGAATCGAGCTATTCCAAAAGACCGCATGAGTAGGCACCATATCAATATCATGTGTGGGCGAAAATGGATTACCCCGTAACCTCCAAGACCGAGTCTCCGATGAATATATATACACACTGCAATAATATATAGTACGGTTGGGGCCACCAAATAGATCCCGACTCCTACTACAAATGTAAATAACTTTATAATGAACAGATTTCAATGGATCAAAAGCCAAACCACCACCAAAGGAAGTGCCATATTCAGCTCCAGTGAGAGGTGGAAGTGATGAGTATTGCTTGGTAGTGGGATTGTATATATAAAAATTAGGAGCTGCTTTTCCGACCATACGTCGATAAGTACGGCAGAGCAACAAGCCGTTGCAAGACTGTAAGATTTTGATACCTAAATGATTATTCTTGAAATTGAGTGATCTGAAGGGGGCTCCAGAGAGATTGTTGTTGCTGAATGAAAGGAAGTCCAACTCCGAACAGGGGATTCGGTGGAAGATTAAGGGGGGCCTATTCTCGAGGAAGAGGCCAGATGGTCTGCGGTTTGGGCGTCGCAAAGTGCGGAGGAGAGAGAAATGAGACGCAGAGATGAGAGAGAACCAGTGTTTGGACACGGATTTGAATCTCATCAGAGACTTGACAGGCGTGTAGACGAGGATCTCTGTCAAGAGATCGTCGTTGCCGGCAATTGTGGTGGCTGCTGAGGACGGCGTTTGGTGGCAGTCCTCCTCTGGTGAGGAGATTTTGTGGTCGGTACCTGTGATGGCTAACATTGTTGTCGAGTCCTGAGGAGTAAAAGACTACTCTGCTACAAGTGTTGCGGTAGTCATAATATGCTGGTTTAACCCTGTTAGTTTAACCAAGTCATCAACTAGTATTTCACAGGGGAGCGGGCCCCACCATCATGTGTGGGTTGAGAAGAGAATGTATTCTCGTGTTGGTGGGCCTCATATGGAACATAATTTCATTATTCAAAGTTGTTGCCCGTGGTAAATAATTGTGGTCCCATCATTTCAGCAGAATACATCCAACTGTACAGCACTGTTCAATTTAATAGAAAAAAGTTTTAGAGGACTCAAGAATGATGCTAAGGGCCTGTTTGGAGTTTGTAGTGTAGTGTGGTGCAGTGTTTTAGCTAAGAACAGAATAAGTATTTTGTAGTTTGGTGTTCTGAAATGAAAACAAAACATATTTGGCGCGTTACAATTGTTTTGAGAATTTTAGAATAAAAATATGATAGAACATGTTTGGCAATGTGTTTCGTTCTAAGAATTATGAGAACAAAATATGTTTGGCAAAGTTAAAGTGTAACCAAAATCAATAAAAAAATATTATTAAATATGTTTGGCAAAGAGTGTTTTTAAATAATGTTTTAATCAATACATTTTTTATAACTGTATTAAATATAAAGTAAAAATTAATTATTGCATTATTTTAATATACAATTAATATAACATTTAATATATATATATATTGTTAAAAATTTATCTTAATTTATTATAAAAACCAATAAAATATATTCTAAATTTTAAAACCTATTAATGTTGCATATTATTTTGACAGCATTATTTCAATATCGAACTGAAATAAACTTTCAATATATTACACATTACATGAAATTGTATATATTACAGACATTAATTTCATAAATATTACATCATTTGTCAACATGCACAATAAAAGTGAGTACAAAATAAAATTAAACTAATATATTATATCATTTATCAACAGCCACCATAATCAACAACAACAATATGAGAAATAACATAAAGAATATAGTTATAGTAAGACAACAACAACAACCATTGATAATGTAATTTTGCCGATTTTGTTGAGCTTGCATAACAGCAACTATATCCTCCAACTCTTCCTCCACAGACCACCCACTTGCAGATGTTGGTGCATGTCATCCACCCATATAAATGCACGAGCATGTGACTAAATCAGAACAAAGACTTGTATATTATTATAGTGCACTTGTGACACACACATGTAGTTAAAAAAAAAATATATTAATTTAAAAAAAAAAAATGTATACCTCCCAAGCTGGACATCTATAGAATAAACGTCCATAATTCTTTGAAGTTGCAGCCTTATAAAGATTCATTCGACCCCTTCCACATGCACACGGTGGCCCGTCACCCTGTATCTTATACATGACTGCATATACAAGTTATTAAACTGATCCAAAAAAGTTAAAACAAAAAATTAAAATAAAATAAAAAAGATAATCATATAGTTACCACAACTTTTACATTTATCGAAACCGTAAATTAATGTTAAAATAAAGATTTTATAACAGTTATCCAAATCCATACAAATAGTTAAAATAAAGTAGTTGTTACAGCTATTCAAATACTAACAAATGGAACAAGTATAAAGTAGTTCTTACAGTTATCCAAACATGATAAACATGTAAATCCTTGTTCAATGGTGCTGACTTGCATTCCATATAGTATCAGCAATATTATCGCGTAGAATATCCATTGGTCGCGAACGAGACTGCGATGCATTAGGCGGAACATCAACTTCATCATCTCCAAAAATTTCATCTATCATCGCCTCCACAGTTGCATCATTAAATATTGGATCTACATGCGCCTCCTTTCTTATAAAGTTATGAAGTGCACAGCAGGCTAACACAATAGCAACTTGAGCTTCAAACTTATATGGGGGCATTTGCTTCAAGATGGGGAATCTCATCTTAAGCAACCCAAAACAACGCTCAATTATATTTCGTAATGACGAGTGCCTGTGATTATATATTTCCTCTCTACCTTGGGGTTGGCGAGAAGCTCTACGGTACTCTTGGAAGTGGTACCGTTGGCCCCAGTAGAAGGCCAAGAAACACGGTTGATTGGCATATCCGAAGTCCACCAAATAATATTTCCCTGCCATTTTACAAACTATAAGCCACGTTTTTTTACCATGATATTTTAAATAAGTATTGCAAAATTATAGCAAGTATGACATTTACCGTCTGGAGGCACCGTTGGCCCCAGTAGAAGGCCAAGAAACCCGGTTGATTGGCATATCCGAAGTCCACCAAATAATATTTCCCTGCCATTTTACAAACTATAAGCCACGTTTTTTTACCATGATATTTTAAATAAGTATTGCAAAATTATAGCAAGTATGACATTTACCGTCTGGAGGCATTGGGAAATGCAAATCCTCATTATTAATGGTCTCGTTCAATATCTTAGAATTATTAGCAGACCCCTCTCATCCTGCTACGACATACGTGAACATCATATTAAAATCACAAACAGCCATTACATTTTGTGTGGTATCTCTCTTCCTACCACAAAATGGTATTTGCTGGTCCACAGGCACGTTCGCATGGATATGAGTTCCATCAATTGCCCCTACGCAATACTTAAAAAAAGGGTGGTACTTTTTGTTCTTCTTTATATGGTTAGGAACTTCGCTAAAATCTGGGGCGACAATAATCTATTTCCTTAAATCACAGACGTTTTGTAAAACCGTATGGAAGTATTTTGAAATTGTATAGGTAGAGTGTTGAAATCTTTCTGCGACCACACGATTTCTTTCATTATGACCTAAAGTAAGCAAGAATATGCCAACTTGTTCATAAACACTTACACCTGTAGAGTCTTTTAATCCTAATGACTTAAACTCCCCACATAACTTCAAAAAAACAGTGGTGGTGGACATCCTGAAATTTTCAAAACATCAATTTTCATACCCCTGCAAGATCTCCATTATATACGATTTCCCAGTTAAAAGAGAATCCCTACAAGGTTGTTTATCGTAATGTTTCCTATAATACTCCAACATGCATGCCATTATGATGACACAATCATTCTCCTCATCACCATCGTCATACAAATCAATTATTGTCCTAATATCCATTTGTATAAGTCAAAATTTAATAAACGAGATTAATTACAATCATCCCAAGCGAAATACCAAATAATAAATAAAAGCAAGACAACAAATAAAGTCAAATTAGTTCATGAAATAGTTATATTGTCATGAGCTTCAAACCAAATAACATAAATACGAGTGTACTTAATATTACAATCAATTAAAGTCATAACAACACCAAATAAAAAAATAAAAGCAATACACCAACTAAAGTATACTTAATAGTACAGCCATCCAAAATCAAAATAAAAGCAACATACCAAATTAAAGTCCATTGATCCAACTAACCCTCTTATCATCACGACAGTCTTTAAGAAAGAAATCCCTCCAAATTTCATCATTACGTAACATCTGGGTGACCTTACCATATTGTTTCATATTAACGCCCTCCAACTTATTCAAAATATAACAACATAACTTAAAATCACTTTTTGTCTTGTCGGGAGAATTGAATTCAACCTCCACATTTCCTTCATTGACTGTAATCATATTAGATGATGAAGAAGTGACTATGGCCCTTTCAATTCGATCTGCTTTCTTTCTATCTCTCTCTTTCATATAGTGCATGAGCTCGCTCATTGTGGAGGCAAAACTCTCTCTCTTTGGTTTTTTACCACGAGGTCCAGGAGAAGGACTGAACTCATGACCGCTTCACTCAGCAAAATCATCATTAAGGTCAAATGAGGTATGTATGCCTGCATGGTGTGCGGGGGCTTGGTTCATAATGGGTGGACTATACGAAGTATGAACATGTGCACCTGTAGCGTGTGTGCCTCTAAATATGGTGGTGAGCTTGTCAAAATGATTGCATGGCTTCTTTCGATACTTACTATATTGGGCATTCACCTACAAATTATTAAATTACTATTAATATTAAGATAAGTATACTTTTTTGTAAAATCAACAGACATTTATTTTAATAACTAACCTTGATCAATCTACTCTATCTTTTTTTTTCAACTATAACCATACCTGTCTCAGCATTGAATCCCACGTATGTTTCTCCTAACAGACTCACAAACGCTTTGTAGTCTGTTCTCAAGTGGTTGAATTTACTCTTAAGTTGTTTCAGTACAAGATTGTTGCCTATATGGACCATCATGCCTTCTAGTATATTCTTCCAACCAATTGCACTAAAAGTTGTGTTACTCCGATTACCAGCCTTCACTTCTTCCTCCATACAGATGATGAAAGCTTCAACCTGATAATCATCCCATACTAGTTTTCCATCATCGGTATTGTCTGTAAGGTCCTCTATTTCTTCTCCCACCACATTGTCAGCATTGATATCCATCTAATTACATAGTTTTAATAAAAATGTGTTAAAAGGGTTATACATGCTCTAAAACTCTCCATCTTCCCCATTACCAAAATCTTAAATCGCAATACATAAGAGATATATAGATAATAGTGTATTTGTTTTGTTAAAATAAGTAATTAGGGAAGTTTTGACTATTAAAATAATTTGATATATTCAAACTGTATAATTTTAGGAATTTTAACTTTATAAATTTAGATTTATGGAACACAGAAACAAGTTTGTGATTATTTTCTTTTGCTCTCACCCTTCAAATTTAAGAGAGTTTATAATTTCCTGTTTGTGTGATTATTACACCTTTTTTTTTTTTTTTTTTTTTTTTTTAACTCTGTCTTTTTGGCTTTCTCTTTTCAGATATATCTATATAATTCTCGATAGATAACTTGGTAATTAGAAAAGGCATATTTTTCCAAAAAAATTAGAAACCAAAAGATAGACAGAGTATAGACAAATGCTTAATAATCACTCCATATTTTTAAAAATAGGAAAACTAATGAAAGAAAATAATAATACCAATTTAATAATTTTCAAAATAAATTTAATAATGAAGTATATGTTTTATTAATAATTGAGACAATTTAGAACGGGGTGGGATTTTGTCTCTCCTTCCTAAACTTGTGTTACAAATATTACAAGTAACTTTTTTTATAGCAATTTCTTTTTATAGCAATTTTTGGTGATTATCAAAAAATTTCCTTTCATTCAAGCACAACTGAATCATATCATCACAAAACCATCTAACATACATATATAGAGATATAATCAGCTCATATATGTATAAATTATATACAGAGATGTATTTTTCATATTCTTAAACGACTATTTTGACATTTAAAAGTCTATTTTTCATATTCTTTTCCACACCCTCTGAGTTTCACCCATGTTCTTCTATACATAAAATCTGTTCTCTACCTTTTTTTAACCCAACTCCGCCTCTATTTATATAGTATTCAAGCCATTTTTTATCAGACAAAGATTATAATACCTTGTATGACAAGAAGTAATCAAAATAATCAAAACTCCAAAATAGATCGAAGTCTAAATGAGACATTACAATGTTCTTCTATATACACACACACACACTTCTGCATTCTTTGCTCTGAGAATTTTCTCATCAATATTAACTGAAATAACATAAAAAATTGTAAGAAATCTCAACATACCAAGATGAGAAAGAAGAGGAAATAGAGAGAGAGCTTGGGGTAAACCGAGAGTGCAGAGAGCAACAGCGAAGCTTGGTTTCGCTGGAAAATGCAGAGGTGAGACAGACGGAGGTCAGATCTTCATACAAACATGGTCGATTTGAAGCCCGATCTTCAAACAACGGAATCCACGTTAGACAGAGCACAAGGAAAACCAGAAGAAGAAGCAGAGGAACTCACCAAAGAATGAAGAAGACGACCTTCAGATCTGATTCAACCCCACTGCAGTGACAAGAAGAGCACCGTGACTCGCCTTTAGAACGGCTTGCTTCGTGAACCCTAGAAAGTGCTCTGCGATTTTTTATAGCTGTGGTCAAAAGTGAATACAAGTTTTGGTGTTTGTTCTTCTCGCTACAGTATTATGTGGGCCGATACAGTATAGGAACAAGCAAGAACACCTATTTTTTGTTCCAATAATTGGCCCATTTTTGCCAAATGTTTCAGCACTGTTTAAAACAATACAAGCCATGCCAAACACGTTTTGGGCCAGAACAGTAGAATTTTGCACTGTAGGGAAGGGAGTAGAACATGGTAGAACAATGCCCAAACAGGCCCTAAAGGATCAGGAATATGATGGCAATTTCACGCGCCTCGCGGTTACCCGCCCTACCCTATTCCCTTTTTAACGATTTTGAGGACTGTTTTGTTTATTTGGGCATGAATAATTTGATATAATAAAAATTTGCGTAGATTTGGTGCGGAGGCGGGAAAGGTCACCTCGTCCCATTTAGATAGACAAATTACTTAAGTACTCTTATTTCATTAATATATATATTTCTCACTATATATTAAGTACCTTATATAACAATATTAAAGTAACAAATAAATTTGATTAAAAAGAAAGTTATAATGGTGAAGAATTGAAGATGAGAAAAAAAAAAAAAAAAAAAAAAAAAAAAAAAGAAAAAAGAAAAAAGAAAGAGTAAATTTATTTGAACAATAAATAAATTATGGATAAAGTACAGCCACACCCCCTGAGGTTTAGCAAAAGGACATTCAGATAAAACTTACCTGTTTTTTGGACAAAGACACCCCCTGAAGGTTTAAAAATGGATAAAGACACCCCTTTACATGAAAAATTGAACAAATTACCCTTTGACCGTTTATGAGACTTTTTTAACTTTACAATTTAATAAATTGGACAAATCTATCCTCATGAACAATTTATGAATAAAAAAAAAAGTAACCAAAAAAAAAAAAAAAACTTTATATCGTTCACATTTTTTTTTTTTTTTTTTTGATTATTTACTTTATAAATGTCCCAACTTCTTAAAAATGTAGACGTCTAAAATGATTTTTTGATCCAATAAATATATTTTAAATAAATTATATTTTGTTATTACTTTTTTTCTTTTTCTTTTTTATTTTTAAATTAAGATACTTAATTCTCATCTAAAAAAATTAAACCAATCCCTTTTCCTTAAAAATAAAAAATATGATACCAGTATAACTTTATGCATCTTAAATTATATATCAAATATTATGCATTTCCTAACATAAAAGGAAAAAAATAATAATAATAAAACAAAGGGGAAAAAAATAATAAAACAAAGGGAAAAAAATAATAATAATAAAGGCATGCATAAAATTAAGATGCATAAAGTTATACCAATTTATTAAATTGTAAAATTAAAAAAGTCTCATAAACGGTCAAAAGGTAATTTAATCAATTTTTTATGTAAAAGGGTGTCTTTGTTTATTTTTGAACCTTTAAGAGGTGTCTTTATCTAAAAAATAAGTAAATTTTTTCTGAATGCCTTTTGTCAAATTTCGTGGATGTGACTGTACTTTACTCACAAATTATGATAAATAATTGTGATCCCATCATTCCACCAGAATACATCCAACTGTACAGCACTGTTCAATTTAATAGAAAAAAAGTTTTAGAGGATTCCAAGAATGACGCTAAAGGATTAGGAATGATGGCTAAATATAGAGGATTCCAAGAATGATGCTAAAGGATCAGGAATGATGCCTAAATATAATTTCATCACTGTTCAAATATAATTAAATATTGTACAATGTGTAATGCAATTCCAACACCAAGAATGATGCCTTAAAAAGACCTAGGAGTGAAACTAATAAAATTCTCTTTTACTTTTATTGTTCACAATTATAATTCTCCAGCATTTGCTTTAGAAACCAAAACCCAATCTGATTAAACTTTGTTTTGCTCCTGAAACCTAATCAACAAGGCTATGACATTCCTCCTTCAATTATTCAACATACACCAAAAACAAACAAAGCCACTTTTCGAGCAGACTGTCCACAATTCAAACCCATAAATTTCAAAATCTCCACTAAGTTTTAGGTGCAAAATCCAACAATAATCTGCCTTGAAAAGCAACACTGTCCTATCTTACAGGGGCTTCAAAGAAGAAAATTGAAGGAAAAGTAATTAGTGTTGGCCAAGCCGAAGGAAAATGATTTTTTTTTTAGTTGGAACTCACACAAATTACTTTCAATTAGGTTTGAACTCCTGACCTCCCTTTAGAAAGTAAGAACCTTATACCACTAAATCACAGGCCTGTTGGTAGTCTGAAACTATAATTTATCTGTTTAGCTAACACAAAAATGATAAAGTTGTGTTAAACCAAAACAACTTGATTCTCAGGATAATCAAACCAAATATGGGACTTAATAATAGCAAGTTGGGACCCACTTACAATCTGCAAACAATTTGATGCAGAGGGGAAACTACACAAACGGGGCATGTATGCAAAAACTGACATGTACACAAGCACAGACGACTCAACGCCTAATATACAACTTCACTCAAGTAAGAAAACTTCGTCAAAGTGGGGCCGAACTAGCTCAAGGCATCAAAGTTGTCTCACCCTAAACCTAGCAAGAATGGTTCATCAACCCAATAGATACACCAACACTACCAAAATCCAACCAGGCATACCAAAACCCAGTCAAGCCTATTTCATGAAGTATCATTGAAGATTGAAATTGCTTTCTTTTCAAGTGTTCAACAAATTTCATACTTTCCAGCACCAACATTGAATAATAATACATCTGTTGATGCGGTGCTAATTTAAAATGTCAGCATAACAATTGACGTTACATCCAATATCATTGGTAAAACTACCATTATGGGCACAAATGATGCCAGAGGCTGCAACAAATCTCTTTTGAGTGACTTATATCTCTATCTTGCCAGATTCATCCCATCCAAAACACCATTTCAATACATGTATTACCTTTAAGAAGTTACCAGTTATGTTACAACTCTTTTTACATATTCTATGCAACAATGGATAACTATCTATAGTAACAAAAATTGCTTTCACTCACAAGAAACCCATGACTCAAGGTCTATTTTTTGCCATAGTTTAAGCATTGAGTTAAATTTTTTTAATATAGACCACCGACAAATAGGACAGTGAAACAAAAAAAAGTACAGCTCAAATTATTAAGCTTGTAGGGTTGGTTGATGGGAGGAGTGAACAAGTATTTCACAATCCAATCAACATTGAGATCTCTTTCTCAAAAATAAACTATAATTCCCAAATGGCCAAATAATAAGAGCACCTATGGGCCAGAATTAGCTAAAGGCACTTGCCGTACTGAAATGTAAGTGTGTTCAGTTTCACATTTATATCTTTTTTTGATAAGTAATATTGTTCTTTTTTTTGATAAAGTTGACAAATTTCTTCATGATACATGATGTTCTGCCACAAAGACACATATATTAAATGAAGCGCAGTAAAAAAAATCCCTCTTAAATCTAGAAATTTGACCTTCCGTAGCAATCATAAGAGAAATATATATATATATATATATATATATATATATATGAAACAGTGAGGTCTGAGATGAAAATGGAACTCAGTCTGAAAGCTGTGGGAGAACAAATTTATCCACTTTAGTGAATATATCACAAGTTTAAGCCACCAATCCATACAAACTACCATTGAGAATATCCAGAAATGGCAGGAAGAAAAATAAGAAACAAACAAAAAGATAACGTACATCACCGAAGTAACCTTGACATAAATACCATCAAACTGAAGCTAGAGACTCTATGTATGTATAAGCATAATAACTTCGAAATTGCAAAGGAAGGCATTGGTAAAAATTTTCAGGTGCCGAATTATGAAGCTCCTTGAAAGTATTATCCTTAAACTTATAAGATAAGACCTTACCGCCGGGTACGTGCACCAGCAACGACGACTCGTCTTCGTGATCTTCTCGAACAAGACTAAGTATACAGTAAGCATAATAATGTATACAACCCCTCTGTTCCATCTCTGGAAATGCATTTAAAATTCCAACAAGATCAACACTATACTTCACAAACCATTTAGAGTAGTCCCTCTCCATCTCAAAAACATCAAATTGCGTCGTCAGATTCCCATAAGTCTCTATAAGATGCAAATGGCCATTAGCCTGGCCAAAGTACGTATCCCTCCTCGGCCCCCGATCCCCAGAAACTGCTGGAATCATCGGCATTGTTCCGAGACACTCATGATCAATGTCAAAACGCAAAGAAGCTCCACTGGGACTAATCCAATGAACCGAGCTGTTCCAAAAGACCCCATCAGTGAGCACCCTATCATGTGAGGTCGTAAAGGGATCCCCACATGACCTCCAAGACCGAGTCTCCGATGAATACTCATCGATACAGTATACAGAAGGAGCCGTGCTACGAACGCAAATAACCTTATAATGAATAGATTTCAATGGATCAAAAGCCAAATTAACACCGAAAACAGTAGAAGATTTAGCTCCACTGTGAGGTACTGGAAGTGTCGAGTATTGCTTGGTGGTGGGATTGTATATATAATAATTCCGAGTTTCTTTCCGTAAAGTACAACAGAGCAACAAACCATTGCAAGACTGTGAGATTTGGATACCTGATGGGGCGTCGGCGAAATTGAGAGATCTAAAGGGGGCTCCAGAGAAATTGCTGTTGCTCAAGGAAACGAACTCGTATTCTGTCTTGGCGAAGCTGCTGGGTATAGAGGGAGCTTTGCGGAGGAAGAGGCCGGAGGGTCTGCGGTTTGGGCGTCGCATAGTGTGGAGGAGAGAGAAATGGGAGGCAGAGATGAGAGAGAACCAGTGTTTGGAGACGGATTTGAATCTGATCAGAGAGTTGACAGGCGTGCAGACGATGATCTCCGTCAAGAGGTCGTCGTTGCTGGCGATTATGGTGGCGGCTGACGACGGCGTTTGGAGGCAGTCCTCCTCCGGTGAGGAAGTTTCCGTGTCTGTGGTGGGTAACATTGTTGTGGAGTAGTTGTGATTCTTGTTTTTCGTTTTTTCGATGAATTTATTAACTCCGGATAGCGGAATATTATACAAACATTTCTCTGTGGCTGATTTTGTAGCTCAATAATGCTAATAAATTAACATATGAATTAGGAAAAAAAATATATAAAAAATTATGGATTAATATATGGGCCATCACAATTCTTAAAGGAGTAATGATACTTGTCGTCCTTAAAAAAGAAATAAATTTTCTTTAAAAAATGACGTAGGATAGAATTATGAACACTTTGATAAATTTGTTTTTGATCTCAGAGTGTTTTTTGGGTAGGGAATACCTTTTGAGAAAAATTCACTAACTTAAGCTTGTGGGATATGTTGATTTTTGGCTAAAAACTTTAGTTATTATTTAAGAAATTTTGTTAGAGACTTTAACGAAATCAGTATGCTATGAGATTTTACATTTCTCAGATTTTACATTTAGTAGTTTTTACTGATTAAATTTTGCTTTTATTTTTAATTTCCTTCTAATATTAGATTTTCTTTATGAATTTATTGCGCCTTTTTAAGTAATCCGTTCATTGTGAACACTTTTATCCACTCCACCGTCTCAAATTGTGATACATCTCAATAACACCTGGATAAACTGCAAAGCGAGAGGTATGGAACTCCTATAGAACATCCTCACGACACCTAGCGGGAACAACCATCAAACCTCTAAACCGTAGACCTCCTTCAAGGTTCAATCTTTCACCATCTCTCCATCCGAAATCTCTGTGTGAATGACATCCAACTTTGAATCTTATTTCTGCGACTCAATCACTCGACTAACAAGAGTAGGTTGAGCCACAGGACTAAATAAAAATGTCCACTCACTACTATCATCGTCACTATAACAATGCAATCCCATCTCAATCAAATCTTCAAACATCTTCCATTTCCGAATGGCTAAACTAGCCAAAGTACCACGAGATTTCCGACTTAAGACATTTGCTACAACGTTTGCCTTTTTCCTGATGATACTGTAAATCAAAATTGTAGTCCTCAATAAACTCAACCCATCGCCTTTGCCTCATATTCAAGTCCTTTGAAAAGAAAATGTACTTGAGGCTCTTGTGATTCGAGAACACCTCGAATCGCTCACCATACAAGTAATGCCTCCAACACTTTAAGGCAAAAACGACTGCCGCTAACTTCAAATCGTGGGTAGGGTAGTTATGCTCGTAAGTCTTCAACTGTCTAGACCCGTAAGCAACTACTCTACCATCCCGCATCAATACACAACCCAATCCGTCATGTGAAACATTACAAAAGAGAACATAACTCAAGCCACACTCAAGTATCACCAACACTGGAGCCGCAATCAACTTTGTCTTCAGCTCCTGAAAGGATGACTCACATGTTTCATTCCACACGAACTTGATCCCCTTTCAGGTGAGTCGAGTCATTGGAGTTGCCAAACGGGAAAAATCCTTCACGAATCTCCAATAAAAACCCGCCAAGCCAAGAAAACTCCGAATCTCAAACACATTCTTAGGATGCTCCCAATTCAAAACCGTTTCAATCTTCAAAGGATCAACTGATACTTCGCCTCCCAAAACATGTCCCAAAAATTTCACTACTTGTAGCCAAAACTCACACTTCTTTTATTTGGCATACAAACAGTGCTCTCTCAAAATCTGTAAAACTATCCCCAAATGGATTCCGTATTCCTCCCGAGATCGTGAATACATAACTGTCCCCAAATGGATCTCGTACTCCTCCCAAGATCGTGAATACATAAGGATGTCGTCGTCCACGAACACTACCACAAATTGGCCAAGTGCATACTGTAAATCTACTATGACACAATTTACACAAAAAATATATTTATATAGACAACCATTGGAGATGCTATTAGAGAATATCACTAATAATTATATCTTTTATGTAGTGTGGGATGCAATTCAAATTCCAGGAATGATGTCTAAAGTACGCTAAGAGTGAAACTGGGATTCTCTTATTGTTCATTTTTATAATTTTCCATCACTTGCTTTAGAACCCAAATCCCAATCTGATTAAACTTTGTTTTGCTCCTATAACCATTACTCTTTCAATCATTCAACATACGCCCAAAGAATACTTCCTCCGTCCCATATTAAATGTTCATGTTTAAAATTTAGAATTTTTTAAGGAATATGCCACTAATGCATTGTCCCTTTTTAAAATTACCAACTTATCCTTTTTAGTTAAGATACGTATAATTACCAAGTTTGAAATTTTTTAAAAATATAAAGGACAATGATGGAAAGATAAAACTTATTTGCTTTGACTTTTCAAAGTGGACAACTAATTTGGAACATCTAAAAATGAAATAATAGACTACTAATATGTAATAGAGGTAGTAAAAAACAACCAAATCCACTTTTCGAGTAAACCGTCCACAATTCAAACCCCATAAATTTCAATATCTTCACTAAATTTTAGCCGCAAAACCCAACGATAATCAGCCGTGAATTTACAGAGGCTTCAAAATAGAAAATTGAAGGAAAAATACTTGGTTTCGGCCGTGTTGAAGTAAACTTGAAAATTTTCAAAAATAAATTAAATTAAAACTTTAAAGTCTGAAATTATGATTTATGCTAATATGCATTCACACAAATGATATGGTTGTGTTAACCAAAACAACTTGATTCTCAGCATAACCAAGCATTCAATCCGAAAAGAATTTTATCGTTGATGCAACCCAATTCTAAAGAGGTGGGAGAAGGAAGATAAAGCAACAGAGCTCACATATGTAACAGCATTTCCCCGTGCCCTATGAGAAATATGGAAAACATACCCTCAAAGTAGCAAACAAATTGATGCAGAGGGAAAACTACAAAAACAGAGGGCATGCATGCAAGAACTGATATATAAGCATCCACAAACGATTTAAAGCCTAACTTACAACTTCACTCTAGTAAGAAAACACAGAATTCGTCAAGTGTGGCAGAACAGCTCAAGGCATCATAAGTTGTCTCACCCTAAAGCTAGCAAGAATGATTCAACCCAATAGAAACACCAACACTACCAAAATTGAGCCAGGCATATTTCATGAAGTATTCAAATTACTTTCTTTTCAAGAGTGTAACAAAATCCATATACTTTCCAGCAAGAACAATGAATAATAATACATCCACTGATGTAGTAATAATTTAAGATCTCAACGTACCAATAGGTATTATATCTAACATCCTTGGTAAAGCTACCATTACGGGCATGAAATAATGCCCAATGGTGCAATTAATTTCTCTTGAGGGACTTATTCCTCTATCTTACCAGAATTGTACCATCAAAGAAACCATCAAACAATACTATGTATTACCTTTAAAAACTTATGTTACAACTCTTTCGTATTCCATTGCAACACTGCATAAAAATTGCTTTGGCTCATAAGAAATCCATGACTCCAGGTCTAATTTTTTTGCCAGAGTTCCAACTTTAAGTTGAATGTTTTTTAATATAGGCCATATAAATAGACAGTGAAACTAAAAAGTACTGGTCGAATTATTAATCTTGCAGGGTCAATAGAAAAGGACTGATAAGTATTTCACAATCCAATCAACATTGAGATCTCTAAGTATATTTTCCCCAATGGCCATATGATAAGAAAACCTATGGACCAAAATTAGTCCCTCTCGATCTCAAAAACATCTTTGGAAACGCATTTACAATTCCAACAAGATCAACATGACACTTCACAGACCATTTAGAGTGGTCCTCAGCAAATGGCCATTAGATTCACATAAATGCCTATATCTCCCATGCCTCCTAGCCCCAGAAACTAAAATCCTCGGCATTTTTCCAAGACACTCGTGATCAACATCAAAGCGAAAAGGAGACCCACTGGGACTAATCCAATGAATGGAGCCGTTCCAAAAGACCCCATTAGTAGGTACCATATCATACGAGGTCCGAAAGGGATCCCCACGTGATGTCTAAGACCAAGTCTCCAATGAATATACATGCATACGGTAAATAATGTATAAATACGGTTGCAAAGTAGACGCTGAGTACTACTACAAATGCAAATATCTATATAATGAATTGATTTCAATGGATCAAAAGCCAAACCAGCACTGAAAAGAGTGCAAGATTCAACTCCACTAAGAGGTGGAAGTGTTGAGTATTGCTTGGTAGTGGGATTGTATATATAATAACTAGGAGCTGCTTTTCTGACTATTTTTTGAAAAGTAGAACAGAGCAACAAGCCGTTGCAAGATACGTGAAGGATAGTCCACGAAATTGATAGATCTGAAGGGGGGCTCCGTACAGATTGTTGTTTTTGAACAAAACGACCTCAAATTCGGACTCGGAGGCGCAAGGGAGAGGTGTTTTTCGGGAGGACGAGGCTGAGGGTCTGCAGTTTCGTTGTTGGTGCCTGTGATGGCTAACATTTTTGTTGAGTATTGAGGTGTAACGACTACTCTACTACTAGTACTGGTTGCAGTAATACTTGCCCACATAAGTGGTGGAACCCTGCTATCTCATGGGGTTTGGGCCCCACTACCATATGTTGATGGGCCCACGCCCTCTTGTGAGGAAGTTGGTTGATCCCCCGCTCGGTTGAAAGATAATTTATTTATTCTAAGTTGTCCCACCATTCCGGCCGAATGCATCCCAGCTGTATAGCACTGTTCAATTTATTAGAAAAAAGTTTTAGAGGACACCACAATCAATTAATTTATTTTATGCATCGTGTGATGCAATTCAAACGCCAGAAATGATGCCTAAAGGATCCTTAGAGTGAAGATTCTCTTTTACTTTTATTGCTCATTATTATAATTTCCCACTACTTGCTTTAGAAGCCAAAACTTAATCTGATTAGGCTTTGTTTTGCTCCTACAACCCTATTCAACAGGCTAGAATATTCCTCCTTCAATCGTTCTACATACACCAAAAGAACCAAAGACAACCAAAGCCACCTTTCAAGTAGACTGTCCACAATTCAAACCCATAAATTTCGGTATCTCCACTAAATTTTAGCTGCAAAACCCTACAATAATCAGCCTTAAAAACAACAATGTCCAATATTAAAGAGGCGTCAAAATAGAAAATTGAAGGAAGAGTATTTAGAGATGAACCAGTTGAAGGAAACTTGAAAGTCTGAAACTCGGATTTATCTGTTCGGCTAACACACGGATAATATGGTTGTGCTAACCAAAACAACTTAAATCTCAGCATAATCAAACCAAAACAATAATTTCAACACCGATGCAACCCAATTCTGAAGAGGTGGGAGAAGGAAGATAAAGCAAAAGAGCTCAAACATATAACAACATTTCCCGTCCCCTATGACAAATATGGAAAACAAGAAACACCTTGGTACTTAATGATAGCAAGATGTACCCACTTAAAGTTGCAAACAATTTGATGCAGAGAGAAAACTACAAGCAGGGCATGTATGCAAGAACTGATACATATAAACGAACAGATGACTTAAAACCTGACCTACAACTTCACTCGAGTAAGAAAACATAGACTTCATCAAGTGTGGCAGAATAAGCTCAAGCATCAAACGTTGTCTTCCCCTAAAGCTAGCAAGAATGGTTCAACCCAATAGACACACAACACACTACCACATAACACTACCAAAAGCCACACAGGCATATTTCATGAAGTAACATTGAATATTCAAATTACCTTCTTCACAAGTGTTTAACAAATTTCATACTTTCCGGAACCAACATTAAATAATACATCCCCTTATGCAGTGCTAATTTAAGATCTCTACAAAACAATAGGCAATTTTCCATTACATCTAATATCATTGGTAAAACTACCATTATGGGCAAAAAATGATGCAAGAGACGGCAACAAATCTCTCTCTTGAGTGACTTATTACTTATATCTCTATCTTGCCAAATTCATCCCATCAAAGACACCACTAAACACATGTATTACCTTTAAAAACTTATGTTACAACTCTTTTTAAGTATTATATCGCAACACTGGATAACTATCCATAGTTAAAAGAAATTGCTTTTCCTCGTAAGAACCCGTGACTCAAGGTATAGGCCTATTTTTTGCCGGAGTTTCAACATTGAGTTGAAATTTTTTAATATAGATCACCGATAAATAGGACATTGAACCTAAAAAGTGTTGTAGGGTTGATGGAAGGAGTGATAAGCATTTCACAATCCAATCAACATTGAGATCTCTTTCGCATAAATAAACTATTAATGATAAGCGCACCTAAGGACCAGAATTAGCTAAAGGCACTTACTGTATTGAAATTTAGGTGTGTTCAGTTTCACAATTATATGCCAATTTTTTGTTGTTGATAAAGTTGACCAATTTCTTCATGATATAGGATGTTCTGCCACAAAGACTTATAATGGAGCGCAGTAAAAAAGAAGTTCCCTCTTAAATCTAGAAATTTGACCTTGCTAGCTTTGGTTCATTGTAGCAATCGTAAGAGAAATATATATAAGAAGCCGTTAGGTCTGAGATTAAAAAAAAATAAAATAAAATAAAAAAGAACTGAGTCTGAAAGCTGTGGGATAACAAATTTATCCACTTTAGTGAATATATCAAAAGTTTAAACAACCAATCCGTGCAAACAACCCATTGACAATATCCAGAAATAGCAGGGAAGAAAATAAGAAACTGTGCATTAAATTTATTCAAACATGTATGAAAATCATGACACATTCAATAAGAGAGAAAAAATAGCTTACATCACGAAGTAATCTTGACAGAAACATCATCACACCGACGCAAGAGTCTCTACGTATATATAAGCATCAAAACATCCAAATTGCAAAGAACCCCTTTTGTGAATTTTTCCAGGTGCAAAACTATGAAGCTCCTTGAAAGTATTATCCTTGAAATTATAAGATAAGACCTTACCGGGTATGTGCACCAGCAGCGCTGACTCATCTTCATGATCTTCTCGAACTAGACTAAGTATAGAGTAAGCATAGTAATTTATACAACGAGTGTCAAGGTGGCTCCGATCCATCTCTGGAAACGCATTTACAATTCCAACAAGATCAACACGATACTTCACAAACCATTTAGAGTAATCTCTCTCCATCTCAAAAACATCAAATTGCGATGTCTGAGTCCCATAAATCTCTATAAGATGCAAATGGCCATTAGACTCGGCAAAGTACCTATACCTCCTCTCCCCCCAATCCCCAGAATTTGGAATCCCCGGCATTGTTCCGAGACACTCATGATCAATGTCAAAACGCAAAGAAGCTCCACTGGGACGAATCCAATGAACCGAGCTGTTCCAAAAGACCCCATCAGTGAGCACCATATCATATGAGGTTGTAAAGGGATCCCCGCATGACCTCCAAGACCGAGTCTCGGACGAATATACATCGATACAGTAATAATATACAGACGTAGCCGTACTACGAACGCAAATAACCTTATAATGAATAGATTTCAATGGATCAAAAGCCAAACTAACACCGAAAACGGTAGAAGATTCAGCTCCACTGTGAGGTGGAAGTGTTGAGTATTGCTTGGTGGTGGGATTGTAAATATAATAATTCCGAGTTGCTTTTCCGATTTCTTTCCGAAAACTACAACAGAGCAACAAACCATTGCAAGACTGTAAGATTTTGATACCTGAAGGGTCGATGGCGAAATTGAGAGATCTGAAGGGGGCTCCAGAGAAATTGCTGTCACTGAAGGAAACGAACTCGAATTCGGACTCGGAGGCGCAGAGGAGAGAGGGGGTTTTGCGGAGGAAGAGTCCGGAGGGTCTGCGGTTTGGGCGTCGCACAGTGTGGAGGAGAGAGAAATGGGAGGAGGAGATGAGAGAGAACCAGTGTTTGGAGACGGATTTGAATCTGATAAGAGACTTGACAGGCGTGCAGACGATGATCTGCGTCAAGAGGTCATCGTTGCCGGCGATTATGGTGGCGGCTGACGACGGCGTTTGGTGGCAGTCCTCCTCCGGTGAGGAGGTTTCGTTGTCGGTGTCTATGTTACGTAACATTGTTGTGGAGTGATAGAGAGTAAAGACTACTCTACTTGAAGGGATACTTGTTTTTATTTTTTCCACTATATATATATATATATATAATGTATACGGAGGTGGTCAATAATTCTCATAAATGAACAGTGGGGTTAATTGGATTTTCTTCATTAATAGTGGGCCCATCACAATTCTATAAGTGCCAGATTTTCTTTTCCAATTGACTTCTTGATCACTTACTACGTCGTTTCTCTGTCTTAAATAAAAATGCACGTGTACACAGCTCTATGACCGGGTGTAATAACAAATTTATTTACGCCTCAATTAAAATGTTTGAATAAAAATTTGTGTCAACCAACCATTAATTTAACAACCAAGAGTTTGGGAGGTCCAGTATGGGTTGTTCTGACAAATCAACCACTCTGATTGAAAGGAAAGACAAGACATCGACCCTTCGAGGCAGGACGCCCACTTCTTTTATCCTGACAAGCATGCATGCCCTATTTATGGATTATGACTGCTTTAATGATCGCTAAAAAAAATAATGAAAATTAAAAACATTTGGACTCCAAATCTCTCTTCTTTTTCAATTTTTTAAAACAAGTTTAGGGCGAAATAACTGAAAATCACTTTAAAAGAGCCAAATTTTGGAACAGAAACTTGTAATTTCCTAAATTGAGATGTTTTTGCTAGATCTTCCCCATAACCCAGATTTTGAGTAAACTACATAAATCTTTGTATCAACTTTTTCATGGTAATTCTTATTTTGCTTTTGGTTGGTTGCGTTTGGCATATCCTGATTAGTCTTAACACCAAAGAGGATTTTGGAAGACGACTCAAAAATATTTATATAAATCTAATAGAATAAACTAATACTAAATGATTTTGGAAGATCAAAATTATTGACGCAAAAATATTTATAGAAATCTAATTGAATAAACTAATACGGAGAAGATCAATTATTGAAGCAAAAATATTTATATAAATCTAATACAATAAACTAGTACTCCATGACCATCTCGAGGGATCATCGGGATCATCGACATTCGTGAGGTACTGTGACATTGCAGTTTTTGCACGCAAACAAGTATCTTAAGTTGATTATGGGTTGTAGAAGGTTGATTTACGCGCAATGAACTGTTCCAGTACCTGTCAAGCAATCCTGACAGTCCCAATGCTCACAGAGTCTTTAATATATTGAGGGAAATTAGGCAAAGCATGTGATATACAGAAATCCTACATACAAATAAAATAAGACTGCAAACCATATATATATATATATATATATATATATATATATACATATTTTTTACGGATAATACAAGCCTGAGGAAATATTATCAACACAGATAATTTAATCCCAACATGTTTAATTTTCTTTGTAACGAAGTAGTATTAATAAAGTACAACAGAGTAGAATTCTACAAATGAAGAAAGAAAAAGAAGAGTATTCAAAATGGAAAAGAGGCACACTCTACTGTCCTGAAGAATAATAGTTTTCACTTCACCCACTATTTATTCAAACAAATTTCAGAATACTCACAGGAATGTCCTGTATGGCCTCCCAGCGGCCTCGTCTTGCATATGCTGTCAACATGATTACCAAAAGGTAGAGATTCTTAATAAGTTATCTGGAGATATGGACCAACAACACTTTTAAGAGTCAATTACATCCAATTTAAAAAATAAAATAAAAAAAAAATTAAAGATCATCATCTGGAAGAATCACTAGAAGATCAAATAAAAAGATTATAAATGCAATGCATTGCAAACCCAAAGACAAACAAAAGTAAAGATATGAGCTCATTATTATAAAAATATAAAGTTTTGTACGACTTTGGACTTTGGATACCTTACTAGCATAAACATATGGTGACATAACAAATCAAATTATAAAGTAATGGAATGTATTTGTACCTCGTATAATGCCAGACAAATAAAAACGTAGGAAATAAAATTAGCAGTTTCAAAACACAATCCCTTAGAAGAAATTCGTTAAATCAAGAAGGCACTAGAGTATACCACTCTATGATTATGGAGAGAGATGAGCACGCCAGAGCATGCATAAACGAAGTGCATGATAAATTGATAATACATCAAAAGATGATTGAGAAAACTTTTCTCTGCCGGCCAAACTTCTTGAAAGAGCATCAACATGTATAATTCTAGAATATCGACATGTATTATTCCAGAATACCAAGGTGAAATGAAACCAACTAAGACAAATCTATGGTGAACAATGAGTTACAATAAGTAAAATAAGAAACACAACTGTGAATTAGTAACAGTTATCTGACTAGACAAATTGCATCGAACACCATTCTTGGGACAAATCTAACTCCCATTAAAAAAAACACAAATCTCGATTCTCTCCCCAGAAGAAAATCCTAATTCAACTGAAATACTTACCCAAATTACCAAGCATTAGCCACCAGAAAAAATCAGTATAATCTTTAGTTCCAAATGAACTGAGCATATGATAATAAACACCCCAAAATCAATGATTCAAATTCTTTTCGTTTATATTGAACTAATAACAAACTACAATTTCTCAAACTTGATTATCCAACCAGAACCATCATATCAATCAAAGACGGGAATATCCTTCCTAGTTCCTTCTTAAAAAAAGGTATAATCTTCCAAGTAACAGGTGCAAGACAAATGTCCATTACTGCTCTATCAAGGCACGTGTGTGAAACAAATAACAGGAATACTTTTCTTTTTTTCTTTTTTTTTAATCAAAAGCAGTGCGAGTACTTTTAGTTTTTTCCCCAAAAACAACAGGATATAATCCTCAGTGTCTTTTTCCCTTTCCATTTCCAGAAACATTAAGGTTTTATAATAATACAAGGGGATCCATAAATTGGACATTCCCGTAGTTTTGCATACATTAAGTGCTCCTCAAATTTCCAGCATAACTCCGACAGCCACTATAATTTATGAATGCTAGGAGCACCAATCAAGTTTCTATTAGACAACCGCTACAATTTACACACATATTAGGAGCATCCTTCAGGTTTCGAACATCACATTTTACCTATGTTACATGGATTCTTCAAAGTAGTGAAGCACCCCGTGTCGGACACATATTGCTCGGACATAGGTATGGGATATACGTCCAACACTTTTGGTTAGACATTTACTTAAAAAGCATATCCAAACATTCAATTTTATTATATTATTATTTTAAAATGAGTTAAATGCCGACATTGAACACTTTGTTACATAAAAACATTACTTTATTCTAGAAAATAAAATAAAATAGCGAAATAAAATGAATATTTAGCAGTGTCCATGTGTCCTTATATTTGGAGATTTGACACGTCGGACACACGGATACGTACCTGTACATGTAACTTAGCATTTTACCACATGCTCTTTGAATTCCTAAAACACCTGCTCTTTCAAACACAAACACTTGGTGAGATAGAGAGTGATTAAGCAACATCACAGCAAGTAAAATGTCAAGGGAGAACTTGAGCAGAGACATATATTTAGGCAAAAGAAGCGGTGTAAGTTACATCAGAAATTCAAGGGTCCCTTTAATTATTTATGTCAAACTATTGGGGAGTCATTTTGTAATTCTATTCTCTACTGGGAACCCAACAAGCTAGCAATAAATAAATTATCGCGTCACCAAAGTAGTTAGATATTAAGTCTCCAGGCAAGAGAAAAAGGGCATTGGCTTAGATCAACCAATGGGCTAAACATTGTAAATCCCATTCCATAACTACACCATTTTCACCAGAAGCATAAAGTACAGCTATCACTAAGAGTGTACACTGTTGTCCTCAGTTCTACTCACATATAGATAGGTGATCCACTCCCCCTGAATCCCAACGACTCATAACAAAATATGATGACCTCGCAAAAGACTTGATTTCTCAAAATATCATGAAATCTCATCCACTTCCTGTGAGACTTCAGTTGAAAGAATCCAGATATAAGGATATTTTTCCACATTTTCCATTCAATTCCTTCCTTATTTCCTCGTCCATGGTAATGTAAATCCTAGATTAAAACTATTTATTTAGTCTTTGGCACCAAAGTTGTGTCATCAAAATTTAAAAAAGGAAAGATGCTTGTATTATCAATCACATAGGGTACAAAATGTTTTGCAATAAACCCGTCAAGAACAAGAAGTTCAACCACATTTGTTTTTGCCACCATGTTTTTTATTATTATTACTGTTCTAACGTAGAACTTGAATATCAGTGCTACTAAAATTTCCATAGGCCGCAGTATCCTGAAAGAGAAGCCATAAATACCACCTTGCTGATTCTTGTTGCAATTTTAAACCATTATGTCCTTAACACAATATTTTGTCTACTAAAGTGAAGCCACTGAACAAAACCAGTAGCCCATATCAGTGTCCTCATTAAACTCATACAACACAGTCTCGAAATTCTAATTTTCTATCTCATTAGATCTAGAACATGGAAGTACAGGCAGGGATGGAGCTAGGAGTGGGCCAGCTGGGCCAGTGTCCCCCCTAACTTTTTAAAAAAAAATCATGTATAACCTTAAATATTAATCACTTACTATATATTGTCCCTAAAATTCATTAAAATTTTCCAATTGGCCCCCTAATTTTTTACAAAACACTTATATATTGACCCAAGATAGAGAATTTGAAAATAAATTTAGTTTGTGTCTCCTTGAATTTTAGTATTTTTCAACTTGTACTCTTTTAACTATATTTCTAAAAGCTCAAATTTAAAATAAAAAAATAAAATAAAATAAAAAATTACAAATAAATTTAACTTTAGATCCCCCCCCCCCCCCCCCCCCCCCCCCACAATATAAAATTTCTGGCTCCGCTCCTGAGTACAAGTATTCTCTCACAACAACAACAACAACAACATCATCAACAACCACCAAGTCTTTTCCCAATTATAAGTATTATCTCGCATGAACAAAAAATAAAAATAAAAACCCAAACAACATAAATAGCCATTAAAACATTAGAAAGATACAAACTTTTAGTAATAGTATTCCAAATATCATATATTGTAGAATACAAAAGTACAATGGAAGTGAATATATCTGAAGTTTATGGTAACATAGTTAGTTAAAGAATGCAGTCCCTCTATTAATCAAGACATATAAGACCTCAAACAAGTAATTAGTTTCAAAACTAGTAGAAGATGAAATATTAGAATGTATATTTATTGGCTAATGGGTAAAAGCTGAATATAAGTATTTCAAACAAGAACTTCAGTTGGACACCAATTGACATGTAAATTTTAGATGGCCTATCACAACTCAGAAGAATCATAACCACCATTGCATTCCAAGTGAGAAATGCCACTTCAGATCATTAAATGTTTTAAGACTAAAATTTTAGATGGCCTGTCACAACTAGGAAATATATATATACATATCCTTATTTAAACAACTGCTTAAGACCAAGATTAATATTAATGTCAAGTGTCAACTGACTATTACAGAAAATGTACGAATTATTATGTTACCACTAAATATAAACTTGATACAGAAAATGTATGTGAATTATAATGTTGGACCACTACCTACATATGCACTTGATAGCAAAAAAGTAGTTGTTAGACTACTATCCAAGTATACACATGATAAACAGTAATCTGTGATAAAGTGGGTTTTTGTTGGCCATTAGATCCACCACTCTCTATTCTCGAAAAAATTTAATCCTGTTAATACCTCCAATTATTAAAATTATAGACATCCCCCAAAAAAATACAATAAAAAAATCCCAGCATTGCAATCCACATTCCTTATTGACATTTTATGAAGTAGGTCAACCATGTCCAATTGTTTGAACTGTTAGCTAATTGCACAAAAGGTTTAAAATTTTCAGAATGATCATATATGGGAGAGCTAAAGACATACAAGCTAAGTCAATAAAGGGAAAATCATACTAAATGAATTGTGGCTAGAATTGGTGAAATTTGCACTCATCGTGTATGAAGTTACAATCTTGGAGAAGCCCCAAAGATGAAGTTGCCTACTAAGGAATAAAGCTATGAAATATCAGATCTCACTATCAAAAACATGATCTTATTATTCATTTTCTCGTTTGTCTGAACAACGGGCTAATGGGATAGTTGCAGAACTGGTTCCCTCATACGAGTAACTATAAAAAATGGGAAAACCAAAGGAAATTATCAAGAACATAAAGGATCACACTCCTGCTCAAGTGTCAAATTAAGAAGATGAAATTGTCAAGAACACAAAGTATCACACTCCTGCTCAAAAGACAAATTAAGCTGAGGCCATCCTCGATCTCACCTCAGAAGGAAAATGTAATGATTCTAGAAGAATTCCTACAGTCAACAAAATTAGAATGAACAAGAAGAACACAGCATGCTAGCTATGAATAACTACAGTCTAAAAGACATGCACATTTACAATTTGACAACTAATAATCAAACACCTAATGCCCAAATAAAGACAAACAGAAATGTAAAATCTATTCTTTGATGTAAATTTTCCTATTTTGATATATATATATATATATATATAAAGCTTTAGCAGTATCTAGCTTCAGTATCACAGCTTGTGTTTGATTTTTTTTTTTTTTATAAGTCACAGCTTGTGTTTGATAATAACTGGATTTAGCAATAAACAAAACTTTGGAGAAAAGCCCTAATCTTTTTTAGTTCAGTTAGCAAATCAAAGCCAAGCTCGTCAGCAACTTAATCACATAAGTTAGTAAAAAATTTAAATCGCAGAAAAACTACACAAAATTTATCAAATGTAATCAAAGCTATTGTACTCGTAAGCCAACATTTAATCATAAATTCAAATAGTCGTGTAAATTATAACTGAAATCGAGAGAATTAGGGCACTAACAGGTCCAGAAAAGAAGACGACAGCAATGTCATTCAAATGTAAGCTGATATATATATAGACAGAGAGAGATATTCATACGAATTCTTTGACGATGCCCTTGTAGACGATTATAGGGAGGGCGATGCCGAAGAGGCCGACGAGAGCGAAGTTACGACGAGTCCACCTGAAGTTGTGTTCCAGATTCTCCCTCGCGCTGCCCCACTCCTCTATGAACCTGTTCTTGTTTGCCTCCATTCCTCCTCCCATTTCTTCCTGATTCCCTTTTTGTCTCCACCACTCTGCAGCTGCTCTCTACTTCCTCTCTTTAAACCCCTCTCCCTCTCTCTGAGTTTTGACTTGTGAGGATGGAACGTTGGTTTTACCAATATTTCTCGTCTGACCCATACATCATACGGTCACAAGTACCCCCAAAAGGGGTAATTTAGGAGCAATATTTAGTAGCTTGGTTGGTGAGCATTCTGGGTGAGCATAGAGTAGATATTGATTATTGAAGCATCATTAGCTTATTCATAATCCCTTTCAAATTGCAGCATTAAAGTGCCCATACACATGATCTAAAAAAAAAAATTAATAATAATAACAATGTTGATAACAAGTTATGATTTTAGGACTTGGATTCTCTAACTTAAAATTTTTCTAAGTTATCGTAAGTTGAATTTCTTATAAAATGACCCGTAACATTAAAAACATATCTACTGCTGGTGTTAAACCTAAAACAAGTCGTTTATCTATTTTTTTTTCCTAGTTGGTACTAGGTATTAGGGGTTCATTACCTTTTTATTGTATTACCCAAATAAAATAATAAAATAATAAAAAAATCTAAAATTTTTTGGAGGGATGATTGTTTTATGGAAAAGATGAGGGAGAGATAACGTTAAACGTGTGAATTTTTCTTAATTCAAAATGGTACAGTTTTTAAACTTTGGTAAATTTTTCTTATTTTAAAACGGTGCAGTTTTCAAAATTTCTTAAAATTAATTAACATGGTTTAACACCAGCCGTAAATATGTTTTTAATTAGGACTTGAATCGTCTAAGTTAAAGAAAACGAAATTTTTAAATTTTAGATTTTTTTATCATTTTATTTTTTGATTTGGGTAATACAATAAAAAGGTAATGGATCCGGTAAAGCCGAATTCAATAAAAAGGTAATTAGCCCCTAATACCTAGTACCAATTAAAAAATAAAAATAAAAATAAAAAATCTAAAATCTAAAATTTGTAACTATTTAAAAGAGAGACGCGACTTGTTTCAAATATGAATAAAGAGGAGAGAGAATAATGATTTTTTTTTGGAAAAGATGAGGAAGAGATAATGATGTTAAACATTATTAGAGTATAGTGAATTTTCCTTAATTTAAAACGGTATTTTAGACTTTGGTAATTTTTTTTTATTTCAAAACGGTACAGTTTTTAAAGTTTTTAAAAATTAGTTAACGTGGTTTAAGACCAGCAATAAATAAGTTTTTAATGTTACGTGCTATTCTATAAGGAATTCAACTTACAATAACTAGAAAATCTTTAATTTAGAGGATCCAAGTCTATAATGGACTTTCTCATGTTTTCTGTTTACCAATAGTTGTAATTTCGTACTTTTTCACCTTTTAAAATATAAAGTAAGTTGATGGTTTAAGTCCTTAAATGGAGGGAAAAAAAATATTATATTTTGTGTTTGTAAATTTTCAAAAATTAGTTCAACAATAATTTATAATTAACATGATAAAATATTAATTTTTATTTTTGGACCAAAATAATAATTTATAATTAATTTCTAAAAATAAAATAATTTTAACAAATTTTCTTTCAACAATACATCAAATTTATTAATATTTTGAAGATTAATATTTTCGTACAAATTACTTGAAAATATTAATAATTTTGATGTTCTGTACCAAGTATTTTTATAATGTTTGTGTAAATTTTATAAGAATCGAAAGTCATGTGGCCTAAGTGCAGGCAGGTATTAATAAACCAATACTTTTTTATATGGATTTTCAGAAAAGAGAAAGAATTAAGAGTCAGTTTGGTGTAATGAAAAGGAAAGGAAAGTAAAAAAAAGGTGATGAAGGGTGATTAAAATATCGTGTTTGGCATAGAATGAAAGGAAAGGAATGATTTTAAAAGAATATTAGTGTATCACAAGGTTTAAATAGTAATTTTTTTATTCTCCCAAAAATAAGAGGAAATAAAAGGAAAAAATAAAAAAGCTAATTGAATTTTGAAGGATAGTAACTTTCTTATTCTCCAAAAAATAAGAGGAAATAAAAGGAAAAAATAAAAAGGTTAATTGAATTTTGAAGGGCCACAAAAAGAATACTTGTAATATATGTGAAAGTTATTTATTTTTAACAATTTACTCTAAATGTCAATAAATCTTAGTTGAACTAATGAGCGACGGCTTTGATCAAAATCATCAGACGGCTCGCGTACCTTGATGTACAATGTAAAAACCCTCCCTATATAATCACATTTTAATTACGCCGACGCTTACGACTTTGTTATTGCTTATTAGACACAGAGAGGGAGAGGCCGAAAGAGGTGATTCAATGGCGTCGAGAGTTACACTGAAGGCGAAAGGCAAAACAACCAAGGGCTCAAAACCATCGGAGGAGCGATCAGCAGAGAAGTGCATAAAGGAGTGGAGCACATGGGTCGCGAAGAAAGCCAAGGTCATCACCCACTACGGTTTCATCCCACTGGTGATCATCATCGGCATGAACTCCGAGCCAAAACCCTCGCTTTCTCAACTCTTCAGCCCCGTCTGATCTGATTAACAGCACACCCAGATCGCTAAAATGACCTTTGAGTCAAATTCCTATGATGGGTCGGTGACTATTTGTCGAATTCTCACAGAATCTGAGTTAGGGTTTTGTTTTTCTATAATGGGTCTGTGACTGTTATGCGCTATATAGGTCGTTTTTTTTTTTTTTTTTTTTTTTGTTGCTTGAATATTAAATTGATGCTATGAATTAGTTCTTGTCATATTTTATGCGACTTGAATTAGCTTCTTTGTCGCCCTTTGATTTTAATTTCAAGATATATATATATGTGTGTGTGTGTACTGTATGTGGTGATGTGTAGTTATATATGTTCTTGTGGGTGGTGTGAAATTGTTTGTGCTTGTAGATCAGTAGCCCCAATATATGTCTCCATGCTATATAAATGGCATTTTGTTAATTATTTAGTTAAATTTGGGATAGTTTGATGCCATAGTTTCTGGTGCTTTTTCAATTTTTCACATTGATTGAATAATTTTACTTGTGAGTTGGTGCCAGTTCCTCTTCAGCAGATGAGAGTGAGTAGAGTTTCGTCACACTCTCATACATGTCAGCTCCATAGCTTGTGTGTTTATTAAAATATGCAATTTTTCTTGTTGATTGGTCAGTCGTTATATCGTTATTTATCAGAGAATTATAGTGTACTTTTGTTGATGGTTGGCTCGTTAAATTTGATTTGGCTTTTGTAGCCTCTCTTTGTGGATTGAAATGGTCAGTTTTGATTGATTGCAATAAGTGATATAAATTCTCAAGCCTTTCAGTGCATGACATTTTTCTGCACTGAAGTTGGCAAGATTGTTTGTTTTCCCAGTCCGTTCTTGCTTAGTGCAGTGTGCACTATATAGTAGGAATGGACTTTTTTGTTTACTTGCATTTTCTAGATAGTTTGCTTTGAACATATATATATACAAGTATTGAGGATTAAGGAGGGGATGGTTCACAAATGGATTTATTTCTGCTGCAATCAAGAGGTTTCATAGTGAATTTAAGGTTCTTGAGGGATATGATCAAATCAGGAAGATCCCATTATAGTATAATACTAAAATTTGAGGATATATATATATTTTTTTCCTTTCTTTTTTTCGTCAATCGGTCCTTCCTTAGGAACATGATTTCTTTTTTGTTTGTTCTGACCTCGTGCTTATGAAGTTTATTGGTTTAATTAGCCATGTGAAAACTGGTTTTTATGTTGTTTTAGGTTTTCATTTATGGCTTACAGTATGATTGAACTTAAACCATTTTTGTCCGCCATTTAATTGGAATCTCTTTGGGATTCTGTTCCCGTCCTCAGTTTCTGGTTTTAGACCCAAAAAAAAAAAAAAAAAAGGAGGAGGAAATTCATTGCTTTAAGCAATGGCTTCCAGTCAGCTTTTTATAACTACAGAAATCGAATCCTCTTTGCACAGTAGGCATACTTGTATGATAATAATTTGAATTGTAAAGTTTGTTGTTATATCTATTGTTGGTTGTTCAGAGGGCCAACTAAACGAAATGTAGTTGTTAAAGAGCTATTTTCACAATGCTGTAAGGTGTTGGTTGGGAGATTTGATATTTCACAATGTTATAAAGGTGTTCTCCAGGTAATAAAAAATGTGGGTGAAATGTTTTGTTTCTAACAGTGGCAGAGATTCTTTTTTGTGGGCAATTCAAAGGGATAACTTGTTTACGAGTTTTCAGTTCTTGACAGAAGATGCTTGTTCACTATGTCTACTCTTAGATTGTATTCGGGAAAAATAAAATAAGGCTGTACCAAACATGTTTTTGTTGCCAAATCCAACAGAGACAAAACGCACACTAAATGGGAAATATATTTCTAAAGGTTATATGAAACCATATAAATTAGCGTCAGTCCTTCAAGGGTGGAATGGAATAGGAATTGGAGTTCTCTATCAATCCATTTCCATTGCAACCGCAATATTGATCAATTGCCCAATATCGTGGGGCTCTCTAGCAGGGAAGTTCATTTGTTTTTGTTTTGTTCTTTTCCCCTCTTGTTTGGGTGATTATCTCATGTGTTTTAGCTTTATGAGAAGTACTTTTTTTATTTTTTTCTTCGTACAAAAAGCTTATCACACTGGGTTAAAGCGTTTGGGACTTTATGAGAAATTATTTTAAGTATTAGATAATTTGGGTATTCAACTTCTTTTGTTTTTTTTTTTTTTTTTGGGAAGAAACTCACAATCAATAGCTACGAGGCACTTGGTATCAGTGGGCCTAGCTTTTCCAATTTAGATTGTCTTAGAAAGGGCATGGTTCATTTAATTATGGCAAAATTCTTAGTAAACTAAAATATACTCTCTTTATTACACAAATGACAGAAATAAGTATTTTTTTGGGTTCTCAAATTTGTCTCGGAATTATTTAGATAATATTTGATTTGCTTTGGCTAATGAGAAAGTTTCAACCACCTCAAATTTTGCTAATTCCGAGCCCAAATATAAATTTTCAGATCCCCTTTCATTCACATTATTCGGTTGGGCATATTTTAAGGCTAGAATTTTTAACAAATTTTATTCTGCCTAAATTTACGTTGTAACTTGAACAAAGAAAAGTTGTGACATCATGAAGTGTTGCAATTTTGTTCATTATTTATTAGGAGATAAATATGGAATCAAAATCTAATGAGAATTAGACTCCAACATGGCGCTATATATATATATATATATATATTTGAAGTTTAAGCAAATACATCCAATATGTTTTTGCCTTTGAAGTTTAAGCAAGTACATCTTATATGTTTTACTCGAACATTGGACTTTATTTTTGTTCCATCAAAACTCAAACACTAATACCTTTTCAAAGAGAGGGCAAAAATCTTCTTTGTTTTTTAGTAAGTGAATTAATAACTCAGAGTTGGTGAGTTGGTAAACTATAATAAATTAGACTTGTACAATTTATATTTTTATTGACTCTCAATTAAAATAGCGCAATTAAGTTTCATAAATAAGTAATTGAAAATTTTGTCTCCCCTAATCAAACCCAAAAATTACCTTTAATTGGAAATGTTAGAGAATCTAAGATAATTATTTAAGTTCCATTAATAAACCCACTAAATTCCTTTTTTTTCCATCTAACTTGATACCTTTATTTATCCTTATCTAACATAAGATACCTCATTAAACCCATTTTTATTTCTTTTACCTTGTTTGTAAACAATCACAGCCTTACACGTCACCTGCTCATGTCGACTTTAGCTGTTACTGTGATTTATTTAATTTTTTCTTTTGCTGTAATTGAAATTACAAAAATTATAAAAAAAAAAAAAAATTTGCATTTGTTTTTTCAAATAAATAAATAAAAGGGAAAATTACATATAAATGGAGTCAAAGTTCCATATTTACTTAGAGGCTGAGTCAAAGTTTCATATTTCTCTAAAATGGATTGCTGAGGTGGCACATGGTTTTTTGCTGTTTAGAAATTGTGGTGCCTAAAATACCCTTCCGCGGAGGTACTACTTTTTCTTCGAAGGTACTACTTTTTTGAACTGAAGGTACTACTTTTTGGTGTCCAGGTACCATATTTTTTAAACACCCGCGAAGGTACTACTTTTTTGAACTGAAGGTACTACTTTTTTGAACTGAAGGTACTACTTTTTTGTTAGGAAAGGACATTTTAGGCACTACAATTTTCTAAACAGTAAAAAACCATGTGCCATCTCAGCAATCCATTTTAGAGAAATATGGAACTTTGACTTAGTCTCTAAGTAAATATGAAACTTTAACTCCATTTATATGTAATTTTTCCTAAATAAAATCAGTAAAATATTAAATTAATAACCGTATTTACTCTATTTAGATCAGATTAGATGTTGTATGTCAAAGTCCCTCTCTCTACTGTTCTCTCTCTCCCTCCCCTTCCTCTGTTCATCTCTCTCATCGAGGACAACGAAACTACTCCAATACACACAGACGATATTCGCAGTATCCGGTAATTTTCTCCCCTTTGATTTCCGACGGTGTTATTTTGATGATAATAGGATCAGATCTCTGAACCTTGTCTCCTCCTCTCTACAATTTCTCTCCTGTTTACACACAAATAAGAAATGTGTTATATATGTTAGACATATATATATTTGTGTAGATATGTTAGTTAGATCAGCTGTGGTGTTATGTGAATTGACATTCGTGGCGGATATAATTCGTAATCGATTTATCACATGAATTGTGCTATGATAATGATAGGTAAAGTTGATACATTTTTTCTTTGGTTTATGTGCTTTTTGTTGATTTTTTTGATTTAAAGGAGTTTTGTTTGAACATTGATGGATCTGTGAACTTGAATGCCTTGTGTTGCTAGTTATTTGCTGAAATTCAATGAGATTTTGTTTTCGCCGGGTAAGTTTTTAGTTTTGCAAATCTCTTTCTGCAACCTTTCAGCTCTTAGATAATTGAATGCCCTAACATTTTCGAAATTTTTTTTTTCCTTGAGAAAAGTTTTATTCTGATAACAGCTTAGAAAATCTGCCCAGCATCAATGCATGTTTGTTTTGCACCAACATGTGATATAATAAATTGTAAGAAATTGTAAGGTTTATTTTGTTTAGCCTTTTAATTGGACGTCTTGCACATCCCACATTGGGAATTGCTTATTTCATCCAAATTAGATTGCCAATTTGAATCCTGAAGAACATGCTCCATATATGGATGGGATGAGAAACTTTTAAGTTTGTTCTTCCTTGAATTCTTCCCTAAGCATTCTTTCAAAAGCCTTAATGGAAGAGTAGAAACAGAAAGAACCCTTCAGCAGGACATCTATATGCTTTTTGTTTGTCTTACGGCACATTTAAAAGAAAACTCATGTCCAAGCTAGCTACCAGAGCTCCAAGGAATGAATCTACCAAATCTAGAGAGGATTCTTTGCACTGAATTAACGTATTTCATCCACCGGGCTGAACTTGAGGTTGAACTTCTTTTACTATGAGGACTATTTTCTGTTCCGATATTAATAAGTTAAATTTTTTTTATGTTTTTTATATGTTGACAACCCCATAAGGTACATAAGATTAGTTATTTATGCTAGTTCTTGTTATATCAGGTGATTGAAGATCTATTCAGATGCAGTCACGTCCTACAAAACTTACCTTTAAGGTGAAAAAAGAAGAAAATGGCACCTTTATGGTGAAAAAAGATGAGAATGGCTTCAGTGATACTACCATCTCTGATCACCTGGAAAGCACTCTTCAGCAATCTATAGACCTCGCTTCTTCGAATGAGGATGAGGATCATGGCACAGAGGATGAAGATAATCAGTCTTGTGAAAATGCTCAGAATCAATTAGTGGTCTATGATCCTGCTTCTAATGGTACAGGTCAAATTGAAGCTGTCCCTGATCCTATTGGGTACCAGCCTTCAACTTTCCGTAGATTTCAATCTTCCAGAGTTTTGCCTTCTGTGGGGGCATTCACTGTCCAGTGTGCCAACTGTTTTAAATGGAGGCTGATCCCAACAAAGGAAAAGTATGAAGAAATTCGTGAACATATTTTAGAGCTTCCTTTTGTCTGCGAAACAGCTCGTGAGTGGCGGCCTGAGATATCCTGTGAAGATCCAGCCGATATTTCTCAAGATGGCAGTAGGCTTTGGGCAATAGATAAGCCTAATATTGCTCAGCCCCCTCCTGGTTGGCAACGTCTTTTAAGGATCAGAGGTGAAGGAAGCACCAAGTTCGCAGATGTGTATGCATTCTTTACCATTTGTTTCTCTACTCTTCTATTATTCAGGATTTCCATGTATTAATAAATTAACTTTGTTATCCCTGTATTGTTATTTTACTCTTTCAAACTTAGTTTTGCCTTGAGACACTACCTCAATGTTGAAAGATGTTGTAAGCCTCTTATAATTTTTTTTTAGAGAGTGCATATCAGGTGTGAAAGGGGCCACTGGCGACGGTAAAAGCTTGTGCTCACAAGTGTGAGCATGTAGATTTGTGCAAAATAAAGGCAAAGGTTTAGTCTATCTCCGCTCTTTTCCTCCCGGTACCACACATAAGTGGAACTAGCATTGCCTTTTGTGGCATATCAAGTGCGGAAGCCACCACACCTCCATACGATAAACTCCTATTTCCTCGACTGTTAAGATGTTACGTGACTTCCATATGAATTTGGTTCACTTGAAGTGACCATGTTCGTAATTGCCTGGCTCACCTATTATAGTGTGGAGGCATTTTTTTGGCAACTGTAGTGCTGTACCCTCTGTTATACAGGATTTACACATATTGATAGATTAACTTTTGTCCACCCTCTTTTCTTATTTTATTTTCCAACTTCAATTTTTCTCAGAAACACTAACTGAATCTTGAAAGATGATAAAGGTGTCCTGTAAATCCTTTTAGAGATTGCCTATCAAGTGTCATTGTTTGGTGCAACAATAAAAGCCCGTTCTCACAAGTGTGATGTTATAGATTTGAGTTTGAGGGTAGTCACTTTGTACAAAATAATGTGAAGTCTTTCTCTACTTTTTCCCCTCTATACCCCACATAATCGAGACTTGCACTGGCCTTCTTTTGTGGCATATCAGATGTGGAAGCCACCACACCTCCATATGATAAACTGTTTATTTTTTACGCATTAAGAAGTTACGTGATATCCATACGACTACGGTTCATTTGAAGTGACCATGTTATTAATTGCCTGGCTTACCTGGTACAGTGTGAAGACATCTTTATTTGTCAGTTAGAGCTGTAGGCTCCAACTCGATCTTGTGGTAGACTGCCCTCCTAGTGGACACTTGACAACTCTCTCTCTCTCTCTCTCTCTCTCTCTCCTGCTTGCTCTTTCTCACTCTCAAAATCATGATAAGCATGCTAATTAGAGAAACTGTTAAGAAGTCACTGTGCTTTTGATTATTTTTTATTTATTAATGTTAATTCGTTGTTTGTATATTTATATTTATTATTTTATCTGAGGTTTTAGGAGTTTGAGCTTTATTGTTGGTGAATGTCCTGGGTATCTGGTGATTTTTAGATGTTAACATGGTCTGTAACATTGTTCGAAAACATGAAACTTGGGCTCGAAATATCTTCAAGTTTGGTTCAAAGATCGATTGAGTCAAAATGTCAAGACTTTATTACATGTGTGTATAAGTATCAGTGTGTATATGTTCAAAAAAATTCATTATACGCCATTTCTTTAATTGGTAAGACGCACAAGCACAAACATTTTCCCCTTATGGGATTTGAACTCTTGGCCTTCCACTTGGAAAGTAGAGGAGATACCACTAGAGATAAGTTCTTGGTTCAATATAGACCTTATTTTGGCCACTAAGCCAAATGTATCAATAAGCTAATTTGCCGGCACTAAAAGTAGAAAAAACTACTTGCCGATACTATACAAGATAAGGTTTAAACTTTAAATGATAATGCTAGATGTAAGAATTTAAGGTCTGTATGTATTTCAGATCAACTCAATAAGGTTGAATACTCATTTTGACTCAGCTAGTTTACTGTCAAAATTAAAACATGTGTGCATTCGGCATTCTTGTGGAGTCACTCGTTATCTGATTAGGTTGGTTGTCTTAATCTGAACCCAGTCAAATTAAGTTTTTAAACAGCGGTATGCAGTAGTGGTCCATGAATTTTATTTTGGGTTAAATTATGTTATTGGTTCTTTATAAGTGGTTTTATATATAATGACTTTAAGGCTTGAGAAATTGAGATTGTGTGATTTGTGATGCAATCTACATTTATGGGGTGAATCCTAAGGAATTTTAGGCTAGATTCCTAAGAGTATGTTTGATAGTGTATTTGTTTTCACAATTTCCTTCTTCGTTTTTAGGTGAGATTCCTAAGAGTATGTTCGTAACGTTATCACGAAAAGGATGTTTCTTTTGTGCTTCATGTTATGTTTAATGAGTTGATATGGACATTCCATTAATGCTATCTGCAATTTCCACAAAATAGGGCAAGTGTGTAAATATTTCCTGAGGCTTCTATGGGCTTGATATTTATTCACCCTTCCGAGGGCACTTAAAATTCTTATATGCCTCAGTTAGGTCTACTTTGATTTTAATATTGTTTTTTTTTTCCTCCTCCATGCTGCTTATTTTCTGGCACCCACTTTTGTATTTATACCCAGATCATTGGTGACCTAAAAAAATTGGGTGACCTGTTACCATCCTATAATGTTTGTGGCTGCATTGTTGAGTGCAACTTCAAACTAACAATAAATTAAGTACTTACCAATGCAGCTGTGGAAGCTGCAAAGGTGTGCATATTAACGGTATTTTGGTATATCAAATATCATCACTCCATTATGATATGCTTTTCCACATGGTTTTCAGGTATTATGTTGCACCATCAGGCAAGAGACTTCGTTCTATGGTTGAAATTCAGAGGTATATTTCTCACTTGATCATTGCAATATTATGGTGATCTTTGCTCTTTTTATTTTTCATATTGTAATATTTAATTTTTCAAAATAAATGTATAAACAAATTACTTGAGGGTGGTTTATTCTAACACTGGTAGTAAGTGGTTTTGTGATATATCCTTTGAATTTCTTCATAATGCTTCTGATTATTCAGGCACTTGCTAGAACATCCAGAGTACATGGCAAAAGGGGTGACTATGTCGCAATTTTCATTTCAAATCCCAAGACCGTTGCAGGAAAACTATGTGAGAAAGCGTCCTACTCGTTTGACAGGTTCATATGATGGCAATTGTCCGGGAATGCCAGCACTTCTTGGACCTAGTGAAGGTATGTAAAAGCTTTGTATTTGTAAGAAACATACTGTAACTAGAGTACTGAAATTTTTGTATTAGCTGTAAGAGGTCACTCTTTCCAGCCAAACTAAGGAGAACATTTTAATTTCTAAAACTAATACATCTACATATGACTGAAAGCCATCCAATGGGAGTTTATATATGCAGGTGGTTAATCCTTTTTTTGTTACATAGCATTTGGAATGCCTCTATATTATCTAATGGAATTCTCTGTTAATGAGCCTCTGACAATGTTGATTATACTCCCTGCAGTCAATCCAATAGCATGGGCAGGTCCGAATGAGGGTACAGACTTGCAGCTTGGTGGACCAGGGCTCTCTACTCCATATTTTGAGGCACCTGTTTTTGAACCCGTAAATCGACCGCCAAAGCAGGCAAGAAGGTGAAGGTAGATTAGATGTGCAGTTGCAGATTGGTGTATTTTGGGCTGAAGGTGAAGGTAGAAGAACCTCATCAAGATAGAATGGTGCCTACAATCTTTATTTTGAACCCCTTTTTGTGACCTAGGTTCAGCTTGTTATACACATCTTATTTTCTCAGCCTTTATATTGTCTTTCCCTAAAAAACCTGTATGTTTCTCGTGAACTTGAAGAAGGTTGAAGGGGGTAGGGCTACCTGTTGTATTGAATCTGATAAGTGATAGTAATGTGTAAGAAAAATATATGAAAGGGAAACTACGGGAAACTATATATAGTTTATTTTGAATCTCAGGTTTCTGATTTTCACGCGCTCTTCCATTCTGCATTTGGAATACGAAGAGCGTAAAGGATTGCATTTTTTTCCATTGCTTTAGCCTAGTTCAATCTCATGTTGTTTGCGTAGTTCAATTTTCTTTTCATTGTGTACCTTCAGGGAGATGGGAGATATGGCTTACAGAAAGTAGGATGCATTTTGTCCATTCCTTGCAGTTTTCATCGTCTAATTTGGAGAACGGTTGGTGACAATAGGGGTGTATCGGTTCTTTTCATTTCCAAGTTTCGGACTCGTGATGTGAATGATCAAATGCATAAAACTGTTGCGAATGCTGTACGAAATACAGATTACATTTTCAATGTTCAAATGTCATTGATTTCATTTGCACAACATATCAATTTCAATTACGAACCCCTTCTAAATGTGAATGCACTCTCGAGTGCTCTTTTAAGTAAATGAGCTGGTACCCTATGGTTCCCAAGAACATCTCATGTATTGCAGACAACTATGGACGATAGAAGAGGATCAGCAACACCTGTAATTACAGCACCCCTGCTTCTAAGCTGCAATAGATAATTCAATGCTCTCTCCGTGATAACCTCGCCCGGTATTAGTACAGGAATCCCTGGTGGGTATGGAGTCACAAGCTCCCCACATATTTCACCAAGGCTCTCTCTAACACTCGCTTTTCTTTTACTCGCAAAGAAGGCATCTCTTGGGCTCAAGATCATGTTAATGTCATCAAAGGGTGAACACTCAATATCATCCAATCTCTGACTCATGCCCTGATTTAGTGAGAAAGAACATGCTCTCTGCAAGTTCCTAGATTAATCGCGAAGGTAATAGATCCAGAACCTATAAGTTCGGAAATCACTCCATAATCCTCACTTAAAATATGATCCGCTTCATATCCAGAAAGACCAAGCTGCCATACGCCAATGGTAATTCGCAAGGGATCAAAGGCAGGAAAGCTAGAGAAGCTTGGAAAATCGAGGATTGCAATACCTGGTATTTTATTGATCAGAGTTCTCATTTCAGCAGCCAATTCCATTGCTTTGTTGAAAATTGTTTCGGGGTTTTCACTAAGTTGAGCCCTAGCTGCATCTAGTGATGCTAAAAGCAGATAACTTGGACTAGTGCTTTGAAGGGTTTGAAGGCATTTGCAAATCCTCTCTCTATCTACTCGATTTCCTGACATATGTAACATTGATGACTGCGTAAGAGAGCACAAGACTTTGTGAGTAGACTGCACAGCAAGATCAGCACCTTGCTGGAGGGCTGAACAAGGCATGCTGGGGTGAAATCCCAAGTGTGCACCATGAGCCTCATCAACAATCGAAGGAATGTGGTAAGAATGACACAGCTTTGATATCTCGCTCAAGTTGCTGCATATACCATGGTAAGTAGGGGAAGTGACAAAAACTGCAGCCGCTTTTCGACCTTCCATTTCCAATTCCTTGATTGCTTTCTGTACCTGCAGCATTAACAATGTCAGAAAAATAGCAACTTTTACTTCTTATGCCATTGTGACAGATAATAATGGGGTGTACTCATGCCTGCAAAGCAGTGATTCCACCACAAATGTCCCAATCAAAATCATACTCAGGAATGATGTACTTTGGTACTACTCCAGACAATACAATGGCAGAGATAGCTGATATATGGGAATTCCGGGGGATAATCAGAGAGTCTCCCGGGGAACAAGTGGCCATAATTGCCGTATGGATTCCACAAGTTGTGCCCCCAACAAGAAACCATGTCTCTGATGCGCCAAACAGTTTGGCTGCTTGTTCTTGTGCATCTAAAATGGACCTTTCGGGAGAAAAGGACTTGGGTAAATCATAAAGAAATGGTCTCAAGCCGATGACTTGAGTCAATGATGATGGAGCAGCTAGCCCTCTGTTATGCCCTGGGAAGTGAAAACTGGCAGCATCTTGTTCTGCTAAAGCTTGTAATGCACTAACTAGTGGAGGGGAGATGTCTAGCATAGATTTATGAGAATCGGAAATGGTAAGATTATCTTCCATGACATCCCTTGTTTTTCCCCTCAGGCCTGTCTTATACTATGTCTTCCCTAGCTCTCTGACGGTTTTTACCTGCAACACAGTTTTTAAAAGAATTAGCATCTTCATATTTGCAAAATTATGGCAAGTGTCGAATTCTCCAAGCAGTTGGGTTGCTCCTCGTGTTTGGGAGCCCATGTTTAGTCTTGCACCCTCCCCTTCCCCTCTAACAACTAAATCATATGAAGATTACCTTTATTTGTCACGTCATTCCAATCTGTGCTTATTTCTCTTGCAAAACTTATTTCTTTTTAAACCATCTGGAATTTTATTTCAGAACCCAATACTTGTGTTTTTCATTATTATTATTATTTTTTTGGGTAAGGTCTTTCAGGACCAATATCATTCTTAAGGAGAAATTGTTAGAATGTGAAGATTTTTGAAAAAAGACTGAATCATGAAATAAGTTGCCTTTCATCATTGGTGGGGATCACCTAATAATTTCTCCATTATTAAGATCAGACCTATCTCACTTGATATGATCTTTGGATGCCCTACATTATATTGAACCAAACTGCACTATGTGTTGATTAATATGCCAAGTTTAGTATTAGCCAATGACTTCAAATAATTTAATAATATTTCAATCACTTGCTAACATTTCCAGTTTTTTTTATTTTGATAATGATATGATGATTATAAAATTTTGAATCCAAATCTCAGGGCCTTATCAGATACCCTTGGTTCAATGAGCAATCTGCCCCTTCTTACCATTTCACGATGCAACAATAATGTTCATATTGTGCCCCTCAATTCACAAAAAAAATAAACTATACTAAGACTAACATAAAATCCATAATCACATTTTCTTTTTCTCTCCGTTTCTGATCATCCAAACAGAAGATACATTGAATTTTATTAGAGAAAAATGTTGGCATGAAAATTATAAGGTAGACCCACCTGGGAAATGCGAAGCCTTGATCTTCTGCTAGACCTCAAACTCCAGTTATTGCCAAAACTGAAGCTAAAACAGCTCTGCCAAGGAAGTAAGAGATTCAGAGACGGGGTCTGTTTGGGTTTGCAATAATCATATATAGCATAAATGTACAATGCAAAGTATAAATGTGTATCCAAACATAACCAATTTACAGAACAGAAACACCTCTTACCATATCCAAAATAGTGGAACCCATGGCATGAGATAATGAAGGAGACAAAAGCTTCAAGAATTTACACTGATTTTTTTTGCTACTTCACTCTGCCTTTGTTCTTCAATACATCATACATATTTATAAGCAAGTTTCACATGCATAATTTGGCTTTTGAATAATATTTTTCAAAATTAAAAGCAAACACGAGTTAAGAGTTGAACATAATTATTATTGATTGACAAGATATAAGGAAGTAAGGGTTTCACTTCCTTTAATATTGCATTTACATTTACCAACAATCAAAGGTGTTTAGTCAAGGACTGCCCACCCTAAAAAAAACTCATTTTTCTTTCTGCCACATTCATTTCAAGTTTTTTATATGTTCCTCACTCCTTTATTATCCACATTATAAATAAATATATTTTTTTTTATTTAAAAAAACCTTTCCGTTTATTTCGACGTAAAATATTCTTTTTGAAAAATATATTTTTTTTCAAGTAAAATATTATTTTATTTTTACTTTGTTAGTGTTTGGCAAATGTCTACGTTAAGGTTGAGTCCATCAGACGGGGTGCGAGCAGGGACGGGCGTGCACGGAGCTTGGCCTTGGCTATCCCTTGGCCGCGACAACGCCCGATTTTGTTTTCGCCCGTTCTTCTCCGTCCGGATTCCGAATCAAATGATTTTTGAGTCTATCTTCGTTGATTTTTAAAATATCGCTTCCGCATTTTGTTTTCTTTTAAATTCCGAGACTTCATGGAAAGTTACTCTAGCGTTCTTGGGATTCCGTTTATTCCTAGGAACCTTGTTTTCGCTTCCGTATTCCGAATCTGTTATCAGGTCAATTTTCGGTCACATTGACTTATGAGAGTTTGTGAAAATTTGGAACGCCCGAAAATTTATGAATAAATTATTTTTATTAAATTTTAATATTTTTTTTCTTCGTAAATATTTTACGACAACTAAATACCAGAAAATAAAAAAATATAACAGCTTAACTGTGAGTTATTTTATCCACTGTGACAGTTATAGGGTGAGACATTTAATGAGAGAGAGTTTACCGGCATTACGGATCTCTTTAGTCTTTCTTTAGAACACTAGTGCCATGTTTGGATGACCGCCTTTCCCTCTCCATCCAGGTAGCAAATTAGCAATTTTCACTCGCTGAGAAATACACACACTCTCTCTCTCTCTCCCTCTCAACATTATCTATCTCTACATCATCTCCATTAAAAAACCATTAAATTAACAAAATTAGTTATAACAATTCAAATATCACAATTGTTAAATTACTGAAAACATCTTCTACAAATTCCTACCGTGCAAGTGTAATCATTCCCTGCAAGTGTTCAAACCTTTTTCTTTGAAAAAGAAATTAGTTTTATATGTTTGATAACAAGTGAACATAAAATCATACATGCTCATTTAATACAAATATATATATATATATATATATATATATATTATAGAATAATATATAAAAAATATAATATAAACATATTACAGTAAGTTAGATAATTAAATTTTATAATATTCTCTATAGAGCATCTAACTCTTCAAGCAAATGTACATCCCCTCCTCCTACTCTTAATTTGTCAATAAATATATATATAGTATACACATGTATGTGCATGTGTGGAAGAAGTCGTAAAGGAGATTGATGAATCAAAGATATCGAAAGAGAAGGTACAGAGGGATTGGGATGAAATTTCTTTCTCTAGACAACTTTCTTCTCTAAGTTCTTGCTCGAATCAATCTCCCTGAACAATTTTATTAAATTGAAGAGAGGGCCAACAGCTAGCGGATGTAACATTTCAAATGTGCTAATGCTGGGTATTATGATTGTTTTTTTTTTTTTTTGAAGATTTGGTTTATCTTACTTTT